TGATACATTGGTTTTTATTGACTAATTTTTACAAGTAGATTACCAGGTCTTTCTTCTTAGTCATTGTTTGATATTAGATAGCCTCTTTTGTGAAATTCCTAATTATCTCACCCATTTTTCTATTGTGTTGCCTTTTTCATATTGATGTATAGGAGTTCTTTCATATTTTGGATATGAATGCTTTTCAGATAAAAGCAGTCTCCAGGTTATGAATAATAAAGAGCAAGCAGGAGCTGTCCATAAGTCAAATTCAATTTATGACAACTCCTACTTGCCCTTCAATGTTACGTAAATTTGCCCTCACTTTGAAATGATTGAACCAACTCCTACTAAAAAGAAAATTCATTGTAATCACCTTCACTTGCTGTCCATGAAGCTTTTGAATCATTGAAAGGCTTCCAGCCTTTTCTTGCACTAAAGTAAGGCCAAATAAGAATCACACACACTTGTTTTTTGACTCACCTACAAATTCTTAAACATACAGTGAGGGATGGATCTCATGTGTACCTCAGGTACTGCCTGTACATTTGTTATAAATACCTTCTTCCTTTTCATTCACTGAAAATAAAGCGAAATAAAAAATAAACTGGTAAATAAAACCAGTTACTGTAGAATCAGTTTTGATTCATGGTGGCCCCATGTTCTATAGGGTTTTCAATTACTTTTTTTTTTTCAAAAGTAGATTGCCAGAACTTTCTTCTGAGGCGCCTCTGGGTGAACCATGCCCAATCCCACACCATGTTCGTGATCTTGGATATGTTTGAGCTCACTGTTGTGATTATTGTGCTAATCCATCTCATTGAGAGTGCCCCTTGTTTTTGCTGACCCCTACTTTACCAAACTCACTGCCATTAAGTCAATTCAGACTCACAGTGACCCCCCACTGGCTTTTCCAAGGCTATAAAACTTTATGGAAGCAGACTGCCTCATCTTTTTTCTGCAGAATGGCTGGTGGGTTTGAACCACTGACCTTTTGGTTAGCAACCATATGCCTTAACCACTATACTACCATAGCTGAATAAAAAGAAAAGAAGTTCTTAATTTAAATGTAATCACCTCTCTCAATTTTCTTCTTCTCTTGGTTCTTGGCTCCAAACTTATTTACTGCCTTAGTTCTCCAATGTCTTTAAACAGATGGAAAAAAAAAAAAAAAAGTTTGTGTAGCTTTTCAAGATGTTCCAGTGAAAAAACTGGGAGAACTCCTCAGGCAATCACCATTAATTTGTCTAGTTCTTGCTTCTGTAATTTCCTTATTTCTAAATATACACTTAGAATGTTATTTCTTGATTTCACATTTTAGACAGCTTATACTGATTGTATATGTTGATAGATGAGCATTTAACTCTCTTCCACTTGTATCCTGTATTTTCCTATCCTTCCTATACACTTATTTCAGAATTTTAAATTTTAAACCACATTTACTTTACATTATATCAAGACTACATAAAATATCATTCAGTACAGATTCATATGGTTGGCAATGATTACTTAAAGCTGCTTGTATTTGGAGCAACGAGTGGGATTCTCTTCAATGTTTTCAGCAGCCCCAATCAACATTCTGGACTTTCCAAGAAGAGTTTCAACTGCAAATCCAGTAGGCTCTAGCCATTCTTAGATTTAAGAGTAGTATTTCCTACTATTTTTGAGTGACCTTGAAGGATCATGACATAGGGAGTGTATGCCTTTGCTGAGGTCTGAATATGAGTTTCTGGGACACACAACCTAGGAGCATACTGCTTAGCTGGCAAGGGACTCAGCTGACCACCCTGAGCACCATCTCACCTTGGCTCTGACTGTGTCTCCTCTTGTTAGATACATAACAACCATTGTGAATTGCTCAAGATTTTGGAAGGAGTTCCAGCAAGATGGCGGACTAGGCAGAAGGACTGCACAGACCCTCTTCAACAAAGAAAAGGGAAACCAATTAACACAGACACAGAAG